CAGTCTGTTTCTCTCTGCAAATCCCAGTAACACAACGAAACTCGGCGGTGTCATCATACATTGTGAGCTCTAGTTGCGTGCAACGATTGAAAAAAATTGTACAGTGTATGCCCGGCTTAATGGAGCCACAGAGCAAACTCCTGTGGTAAATTCTTGACTCTGTCACAGTGAAAATATGTGGACTGATAGGATTCCTTCCATGTTGACTTAGTAGAGCAATGCCTTTGCCAATCAAACTAATGCTTTAGGAAAACTGATTACACGTTAGGCTAATTCAGCCTCCCAAATACACGACATGTTTCTTAATCTGAGCCAATGTAAACTACTTTCTTATCAATTCATTAATTACCTGACTATGGTGGAGTAATAGCCTTTCATTCCCAGTCTGTTGATCCTTTAATATAACAAAGGGAATAACTCAAGATGCTGATGTCATAGGAAAGTAATATAGCAAATATGACACACTCATCTTACATCATTGATCCCAGGATGCATATCAAATCCAAAGTTAGATTTCAATGTTACAGAACTGGTTGTATCACAAACTCTGCTTAAATTTTAGCCACTTTGACCCAGATAACAAAAAAAAAAAACAACAGGTAAAAGCACAGAAAGACAATGGAAGTTAGCTTAAGTTATTAAAAGAGTTGTGCCTTCTATGGCTCCTGTTTTTCTCATTTGTTTTTCTTTTTAGTAAAAGTTTATATAAAACTGAAGTCCCAACACTCACGCCGTCAAGTGCATCTTACTTAACATGAAGCGTTCTTGTTGACATCAAAATAGCTTTGGAGCAGTTTGATTAAATGTAAAGACAAACACACCAAGCATCTGTTAGAAAATCTGCACAAAGATTACACAGCCTCATCTCACAGAGACTCATAGCAGCAAATAATGTAATTAAACTAGAGCGATAGTGCCTCTAGGCCTGGACTTCTCTGCTCATGGAGTCTGCAGATGTGTTATTTATTTATTTATTTGTTTGTTTTGTTTGTTTGATGATCCTCAACCAAATTTTAGAAAGTATTACCATTTCCATTTTTAAACAATCCAGTTATCAGCAGGTCGTGATTAATTTCTCTCCCCATAGAACAGTTATTATACATTTGAAAATATTAGCACTTTAGGCTAATATTAGAACTGTGCTTTATTTATTTCAAGAAAAAGACTCCATCCAAAGCCTTCAATAGAAATACCAAGGAGCTATTATTTGAATAAAAGTGTACATTTATGATCAATAAACTAATCCTTTTCACAGAAATATACTGATTAGACGCATGGTTTACAAACTGGATGAACAAAAATATGAAGTAAAGCTATGAAGTCAACACATTTTAATTAGAATAAGATGTTTTAACATAATGAATGAACATACATGAGGTTATCATTCAACCAGTTTTGTATGATAAAACGGGTGACGATAAAAGACCCATTGGGAAAAGGTATCTCCTTCTTTTCTTATATTGAGCTATCGCTCAAAGAATTCAGGGCTAGAGGGCGGGCAGAAAATATTGTTTCAGTTCCATCCCAGTAGATTTCTTTTTTCCTTAAGTTCCTCAGTTGCCAGTATGATAAACAATTCCGCCTGTATGGCCAAAGATGCTTTTCTCTCCTCTGTCTGAGGTAACACTCTGATTTCGAGCTCAAGCCACTCACTTTTAAGATGATTTTTTCAGCACAAATCCCTTTGAGTCAGCCTTGGTTGATGTCTGTATTCAGCTCAATTAAAATTACTTTATTAATATCAAACACAAATTTAATCTTGATGTAACTCTTAAAGAGGTTTCTTCTATGTTGTTTGTAGATGTTAATGGCAGTAGTAGGAGGAATGCTCAGGGTCGTCAATTTCATGAAGAATTCTTCTTTGAGAAATCATCTTCAGAGGTTCTAGATGAGTTCCCAGAACAAAGCTGATGTGATTTATCAGCTTTTAAATGGTAAATATCCTGTACTTATAGCGTTTTATCAAGTTCAAGGATCATAACGCACTTTACACTAAATTCAGTCATTATACACACATTCGCACACTTGTTTTGGCAAGCTACAGTACATTCTAGCTCTCTCACCACCAACTGAAAGCAAGGCAGGTGAGGTGTCTTGCCCAAGGACACAGTGACAGAGGAAGACAGAGTGGCTCAAACTGTCTCAAACACCTTCCTCCTGTGCAACCACTGTGCTGTTTTACCTTTGTAGTGCATTGCTCTGATGCTGCTTCCTCGGGAGATATGGCAGAAGAGATCACACTCTCCACAGTACAAGATAGAAGTAGTAGTACAATAGATTTGCAGCATCTTGCTGCAAACACTGAAGGACCTAAGCTTCCTCAAAAAGTATAGTCTGCATTGTCTCTGCTTGAAGATGGCTTCACAGTTCTTTCTCAAGTCCAGGTGAACATAGAGGTTTTTATACTCCTCCACTTCCTTTCCCTTGATAGCAATATGTAATTGTGTATGACCTGAGAGGTACCACATCTTGGGAGTCCCTTTGCAACAGGTATTAAGATTGTAATTGATTGATTCACAGCAAAATGATATTTACAGATATTTACATTTTATTCATAGTCTTCTTGTTAAAGTTTTTAAAATGTGAAAATGAGTTACTTTTGTGGTTAGCATGCTGTTTAATTCCAAACTTGTGCTCCTTTTAAAATCAAATCCATTCCTTTCCGTGTTGTTATCGGGGGAGACGAAAGCAAGACATTCTTAGAGACCCACAGAATCTGTTATATTCAATATTTAACAGTACCTTAGTACATAAATAAAGGTGCATTTTAAAACTATTGATCTATCAGCAAAAAAAGAAGTGTTTTCCAAAGTGTGTGAAGTATTACTACGTTGATTCCTTCCCCATTTTTCATATTTTTTATGAAAGAAAATGAAAAGGTTACAATTAAAACAGCAGCCTTCTTTTACATTATTTTTATTTCTAATTTTTTGAAGTGAAGGAGGGGTTAATTGCTATTGCTGTTCTTCACTTTTTCTTTCTCAATTTGGACTGTTCAACATGTCATTTCACTTCCAATGTTCATATTAACTTCCTTTTCTTTATTAGATCATAGTCCAAGAAAACTCAGTCAACTTTTCCATCGGCACTTTGCCTTTTCCGGCCATTAATAGCTTATCATTATAGAGCTTGGCTGCTGCTGTGTTCTGCTACAGTCTGTATTTTATTCCAATGTACATTTAAAAGGTTACCACTATTTAAGGAAGTGAATAAATCATTTATATCAATATTAAAATTTGTAAAGAATGCAAATATTGATGTTTATGCATAAAAAAACTAAATCAGGAAAGTATACATTTTAAGAAGTAAAACATTTAAATAACTGTTCAAACAATAAAACCTAACACCTAAAAATACATTAAAACCTGAAATAAAAGATATTGCATATTGCTTAATCAGTAACCAGAAAGTGATTCACTAAATCCCTTGTTTTGCGTCAAACATTATGATACCATTAATCCCCACACTAACTAGTAGGTGATGCTAAAATTTGAGTCTGTTGCATCTTAAAAGTTTGTACTTGACATTTCAGACAGAATAAATGTTTACATTTACATTTTCAATGTTTTCCTTTAAGGTTGTAATAATAATAGAAAAATTATTTAAACTAAGATTCATTAAATAAACCCCCAAAATATTGTAGATATTGTAGATCAATGTGTTATACAAAGCTAATGGATAACCATTAGCTACAAATTTTGTGCCTTCAAGCTACTAGCCTTTCCAAAAATAGTTTTAGTGTTACAAGTAAGACTACTCTCATGTGTAACTCTATGTTCAGATGATAAAATGTTTAGTATTTCACATTAAAAGAATTTATGTCTCCATTACGATATGATACCTCAAAATCTGGAGATGGGGATTCACATGGTGAAATACAGTCTACACAAAGCTGTCAACAAATAAAAATTACCTGACAGCAACAAAAGACTGTAACATTGTCTATAAGTGAGCACACCTTAGGGCCTCTGAATTTAAACACAAACTCTGCCTGATCTGTAGCTTTCCCATGCTCAAAGGCCCATTGGCCTTCTTTCCCTTAAGTCTCTGCAGAAATATTTCTTGGCTCACTGCTTGGCCAAAAAGGTTCTCGATGCAGAATGAAAAATGCATTTATTATTTAGTCCTATGTAATCTACTCTCACCTATGTTGAAGTAGTGGCCTGAGCATTTCAAACATTAGAAAAAACAAAGGATACCCGCAACACTACACAGATTTTAGTGTTTCACAACCATAAGTCTCCTATTATGCATAATGGAGGAATATATTTAGCCCACTGTAAGGCAAAATAAGTGTGAGTTACAGTTTCAATCTGCCCTTGTCCAAAGAACTTCAATCACTCAATTTCTCTGAGCAGTATGCTTCCAATCCGGGCAAACAGCTTGCCGGGCATTTAGAACACATGGGGATTAGGGGCTTGATTTAGTTGGAGGCTCAATCCAGAGTGAGACCACACTAGCACTTATGATGCCATGTTTCGTCTCTGCTGGCTTGGTGATAATGTCTTTCATTTTGTGATGCTTGCATGCATACAGTATACAACAAAAGACACATCATATCTATAAGCAAGTTTCCTTATTTGAATAATGAATTATAAAACGATTCAAATCAAAATGGTCAAAGGCGATTATCATTACTAGAAATGTGTATTTTAGTACCTTAGTCAAATAATTTTCTAAACTACAATGTTTTTAACTACTGCTGAATTTAAAATAATCTCTTGGCTGTTTATATTCCCTGTCTTGCCCAGTCTCTCATGCCATCATAAGCCCTGCTAGTAATCATATGCTTTCACTCTGCCTGAGGAAAACAAGGTATGCAGCTGCTTATGACTTGGGTGCGTGTGAAAAGTAAAGGTCTCTGTCAACTTGTTTAGACAGGATGCATGAAAGAGGAATCTGCCATCTCAAGATTTCCCACTGGCTATCACTTCTCATTGGTTAGTACAAGGTACTGATTTGCATGTAGTGGGAGTGTCCTCACCGAGCTCTGAGATGAATGACTTGTTCAAGTCAGAGAGGAATAAGGCAAAGCACTCGGCAGCGGTCTGTCTGCTCAGCTCAAAGCTCAAAATGCCTGAGTTAGTTAAGTTGCCACTCTTACTGCAATAAGGGGAAAGTGCTGGACGAGGTCATAAACATGTTAAGGAGTAGGCACCCCAGCAAAAAAGGAAGGATATGGGTAAGTTTTATACTCTCCTTTTTTTTTTTTTTTTTTGTTAGACAAAGGTCAGTGCAACTGTTTTGTTTTCATTAAAAACATCTTTTTTTCATATGATATGTAGACATATTTATTTTTCTTGTTAGTCAGTTACACATTTAATCAACAAATATATGTATTTTTTTAGCCATGACTTAAACTTAACTTCTTAACTAATGCTTGTAATAAGATATTACTTATACGTGACAAACTATAAAACTAAATATAAAAAAATATATATATAATTTCATATTGAACTCAAATCCATCAACACATGGTGTTATTAAAATACTTTTTCTACTTTATTGATCTGACAGATCTTTTATTTTCTTGTGTTACAGGGTTTTTACATCCTCATGCTGTACACCTCCCCCCTCTCCTGTTTGGCAAATTTCAGTCAAGCAAAAGAGCTCATCTATACAATAAAGGAGGGATTACCCAAAGGGACTTTCATTGGAGCTATTGGAGAAGACTTACGTTTGGATTTTACAGTTGAGCCCCCCTTTTCCTTCAGTCTCACTCAAAAGAAGGTCACGGAGCAGTATGTAAACATAAATAATACTACTGGGGAGCTTTACACATCTGCCGCTGAGATTGACAGGGAGACCCTCTGTCCTTACAGCTCAGACAAGCAGGGATGCTTCTTTTCACTGGATGTGTTTGTGTTACCTCAGCAGTACTTTCAGCTTGTCAAAGTAAAGCTTTTGATTGAAGATGTGAACGACAACAGGCCAAAGTTCCCCATGGATGAAATCTGCATGTTTGTCCCAGAAAACGCACAAATAAATTCACGTTTTGCAGTGGAGCAATCAGCTGTTGACCCAGACCTGGGAATCTTTGGGGTCCAGACCTACTGGCTGGTTAATGACTTTGGTGTGTTCACTCTGGATGTTGAGGAGAATGATGGAGGTGAGCTGACACCATTCCTCATTATAACAGACTTTTTGGACAGAGAGACGCAAGATGAATACATCACAGATATCATTGCTGAAGACGGAGGGACCCCTCCTCTACTTGGAGCAGCTACTTTAAAAATTGCCATCACAGATGTTAATGATAACTGTCCTAAATTTACAGAGTCTCAAATTAATGTTACTCTGCATGGGAATACAAGCAAAGGCACACATTTGGCACGTTTGCATGCTTTTGACCCTGACCTTGGTACTAATGCGGAGATCAGCTACGCTTACAGTGAACGTGTGCCAAGGGACACCAGAAGTTTGTTCCATTTGGACAAAATTACAGGAGGGATAAAGCTAGCCAGAAAAATAGACTCTGCCACAGCCACATTCTACAAACTCACTGTTCTAGCCAATGGACCCGGCTGCATCCCTGCGGTTGCAACTGTAAGTGTCCATGTCATAAAGTTAGTTACCGGCCCCCCTGATATCCTACCTCGGTACATTGCATCTGAAAAGGATGGAGTGGTGACACTGAAAGAGTCTGAGCCAGCTTTTTCTCCAATAGCATTCTTTACTATTAAAAACATGGACAAAACCCACAGGGTAGACTGTTATTTGGAAGGGAATGGTCCCTTCAGGCTTGTCCCATATCAGCAGTTAGAGAACGAGTATTTACTAGAAACAACAGATACTTTGGACTATGAGAGGATACAGGAATATGAGCTAATAGTGGTTGCTAACAAAACTCTGGGTATGGTCATAAAGACTTTCCTAAAGGTGCAAGTTTTGGATGAGAATGACAATGCACCAGTGTTTCAACAGTCTTTGGTGGAAATATCAATTGAGGAAAATAATTCACCTAACACATTTCTTACCCAACTTCAAGCCTCAGATCCAGACAGTGAAGGCCGAGGAGAAGTCATTTACATCCTTGGAGGTGATGCTCCTGGGATTTTTGCTGTGGATCGTCTCACAGGGGTTCTGACTGTTGCTACATCTCTTGACAGGGAGGAAAAAGAAAAATATCGGTTCATAGTTAGAGCAGTAGATCAGGGGACGCCCAGGAGAGAGTCACTCGCGACAGTGGTGGTGACTGTATTAGATCGTAACGACAACAGTCCACGTTTTATTAATAAGGATTTTACCTTCTTTGTACCAGAAAACTTTCCAGGGTTTGGGGAGATTGGTGTCCTCTCTGTCACAGATGCTGATGCTGGTAAAAATGGATGGGTAGCCCTTTCCATCCTCAATGGCAGTGATATCTTCATGATAGACACTGGCCGCGGTGCATTGAGGGCCAAGACTCCTCTGGATCGTGAACAGCAAGGAACATACCAACTTTGGATTGAGGCTGCTGATGGTGGGGTGCCAGCACTCTCTTCTATTACAATGGTGACAGTGCTCTTGTTGGATGTAAATGACAACCCGCCAATTGTCCTCTTCCCTCAGTCCAACCAGTCCTACATGCTAGTGCTACCCAGTACGGCACCTGGAACATCAATTGCAGAAGTATATGCAGTGGACAAAGATACAGGGATGAATGCAGTAATTGCCTACAGTATCATTAAAAGGAAAGGTGGTGAGCCAGGGTCATTCGCAATTGACCCACAAACAGGAAATATAACATTAATGCGAGAGCTCAGCAACAGAGGGCTTTATAGCCTTCTGGTGAAGGTTACTGATCACGGCCAGCCTGAACCACTTTACTCAACTGTCATAGTTAACTTCTTTGTCAATGAAACAGTGAGTAACGAGAGTTACATCCAAAGTCTTTTAACCAGAGACACTGACATAGAAGTTGAAGAAAAGCCCTGGTACGGTGGACAGATGACTGATGGTCCTGAGAGATATGAACTGTTTCCCTGTCGCTCTGTCCTCATTGCTCTTTCAGTGGTATGTCTGGGGTTGTTTTTTCTAGTTGTTATATTGATATCATATATATGCTGTAAAAGATTCAAAAAGATAAGACACAAAAGATCAGAGGTGGAAGCACCTTTAAAAATGAAAAATGGCTCAACACATGATTTGAACAGAAAACTCAGGCAGATGTCTAAAATGTGATCAACATTTTTGCGGATATTCCAAAATGACCACTGTTTACATGAATGTTTACAATTGCAAATGTACAAAGCAGAGCACTTACATTAAGTCGCTCTTATTGCTTTGGCCATTTTAATGTTATTAATGGTCCTTCCTCTCAGGCTGCGAGATGCAAAGTTAATAAATAAATTTTGTGTTTCTCCACATGATACATTAGAAAATTCTTAGGAAGAAATTGATGATGGCATTAACACAAAGCAACGAGAGGAAATTATTATATAATGGAGTTACTTTGTAAATACTGTAAAGACTTTGCAACTTCATGTAACACTTGCACTGGTATGAAAATAGAAAAAGAAGTGGCAGCACGGAGAGTCAATTTTATTAAATCAGCTCATGAAAAGATTTATCCATCATTCAATGGAAGCTTTAGATTTTTAAATGTATATAATTTTTTTAAAGAAAATATACAGCTATATTTATACAGCAACAATTGCATTTCTGTTATGGAACACTTCAATTGTATGGTCGGAGAAAGGGTTCTCGGATACGCTTGATTTGCGAATTTTGAAAACTTGCAAAGACACTCCTAAAAAGAGTTCCATGTCAGACATGCTAAAAAAAAAACATTCCGTTAAAAGCTTAAGTATGGTCCTTTTTTAGCTTTTTTGGTTGTTTTTTGTTTTGTTTTTTTTTTATCTAAAACTTATCTGACCAGCATAGGAATAACTACAAATAACTTGCAAAAGGGAAACATATCTGTTGTCAGTTATATTTTCTCACAAAAAATACCATCCAATGTCGCTGAAAAATTTATCAAAGAAAATAAATTGTACTCTCTCTCTATCTTTTTTGTCATACACGTGCATAGTGTTAAATACATGGATCTAATTTAAAGAATCATGCCATTGTTATTGTGTCTGTAAAATACACTGCAAATGTTTGAAGGAAGAAATCAGAGTAATTATTAAAGATATTTATTTTTATAATATATTGGATACAATCCAATGTTGGTATGTGTCATATATCCTGCATATTCAAAACTGTGTTTGTGTGACATCCATTATCATATCAAAAAAAGCTTAAATGTAATTTATTTACTCTCTATACTATAAACAGTGTATAATACAACCAAATAGATTGAGGTTCACTTATATCCATGTTAGCACATTGTTTTCAGATTAATAAATATACAAATTAACAAAGCGTAACTGCATGTGTTACTTTGAGTGAGCTCACAGCTCTCACTATTTCAATGGTTATAGTTAGATATTGTCAGTGAAATTAACCCAAACCTTTATGTAGAGTTCTGATCTCGTATAGAAATTATTAATGCATTACACTGCACGCAATGCAGGTGACAAAATTGCTAAAGATCCTGTAAAGCTGTCATCACCTGCACAGGTCAGAACTGGTGAGGTAACACCAAGTAAGACTTTAAAGGAAACACACCCCTATAGCCAGGAAGGTCAAATCAACTTCCTCACCTTTTTTGAGTTGAAACGTGGCACTATTACTGCCAAAACCAGTACAAATATTTGAAATATCACAGAGGAAATTGTGAAAGTAGACATGACACTTTCGCCTCCAAAATGCAACTAATCTTCTGGTTTATGAAGGTGCTGTAAAGTGCTTGCTTGTGTTTGCTGTCAAAACTGTAGAGACACAAAGCCTTTAGGACGCTGTGTTTTCTTATTAACGGGATGTACACTCCCCGGAGAGGAATTCTGTTGTATTAAGCACCTCTGAAACCTGTTTGGCTTTTACAAAGCAGCAAACATCAAAACAAACCTGTGCTCACAATGTGCTCACCCAAGCAGCTTCTTAAGTGATCACAGGCTTTTCAGGACGGAAGTGTGCCATGCAGGCACAGAGCACATCAGGAGCTATCAGCTCAGTGTAATCCTCAGTAATCACCACTGGCCAAACTGCATTACACAAATAGGCTGAACGATGCTGTATAGCATTGACATACCAGATGTGGACACAATGTTAACAGGTTATAATAGAAAGTGCCTTAATAAGAGCGAAAGATATTACAAGGTTTGACGTCTAAAGAATGCATTTAATCTGCCTTATGTTTAAACACAAGTATAACTGGATTCTTATGGGATTTTTTTTCTACATCAGTAAAACTATTTTTTGCAAGGAACAGTCAGACAAGTTTTAAAACAAGCTTTGATGCATTTGTCAGTGATATTCGTCATAGTTCATTATAAGGCAAATTACGCACCCTGCTGCACCCTTTGAAAATTAGGTTCTTTGTCTTAACCTCATTCGCCAACCACAGTCACGCCTAGTCAATACCCTAGTGATACTTTTCAGTCAAGCCTACACCATGAAAGGCCTGAAGCCAAGTAACCCTTAATTTGGAATAGTGTCTGGATAATTTCTCATTTGTTTTTCACACTGTGCAAACACATGCTGGATATGATTAATTGAACAAAAAACAATGGAGGCCTTACTTCACTATGTCCAATTTCTCTCCTTCTCTGCTTTGAGATTTTTATTTTTTTTTTGGGGGGGGGGGGTTATGCCCTAATATGCTGGGACAAAAAAGGTAATGAAAGTTGTTATTTTTGCTCTCATGAGCAGGGTCCTTGCTAATAAATAATGAATCTGATCTTTTTTTCAGGTATCCCACAGTAACATGATATTTGTGTATTTTGCTTAATTGAATTTAGTCTTTATCCCAGTGGGCACCGTTACATCAATTTGATGTTGAAGATTGGTCAAGATTTTGACTTCCATGATAATTATTCTACAGAAGCTTATAGTTGTAAAAAGGTCCAACCAATAAATCAATCTAGCATCCAAATACTGCCTCATATTGCTAATAAACATATTTGAACTTAAAACAATATCTCTGCACAAAAACTTAACATCAAATTGACGTTGATTTGATGTCTGGGAATAAGGTATTGAATTGATGTCATATTGATGTCACAAAGCATCTTGGGATAAGGGACTTGCAACAAGCATGAAGCTATTAAAATCTTGGTTGTGTTATTCATGCTGAAAATACATGCACCATTTGACCACCAAAAGTGGGGAAATGCATTATATTTCAAAAAACATTTTTGAATTACCAATTATTTTATTTTATTTTTTATAAAAAAAATTTTTTTTTTTGCAACCCGAAAAAATAGCAATTGTAGAACATCAACTTAGTTTAGATGATCCAAAAATGATTAATATTAGAACTATTGACAATATACTTTACAGAATTGCTATTTTAAAGGCCATGCATGAAACACTGCAGAACTGCAATACAGCTGTCTTGTATTTCAAACAGAATTGGGTTTGTTTAGGCCATTTCCTTCTCAAAGGAACTTTTTTTTTTAATCCTAATGAAGGTCCCGTGAGATGGCACATTTATCTAAGTACATGTCGGGCAGTCGTGGGAGAGCGGTTAGGGTGTCAGACTTGGATCCCAAAGGTTACCGGTTCGACTCCCGACCCGCCAGGTTGGTGGGGGGAGTAATTAACCAGCGCTCCCCCATCCTCCTCCATGACTGAGGTACCCTGAGCATGGTACCGTCCCGCCACACTGCTCCCGGGTGAGGCATAAATGCAATTTCATGGTGTGCAGTGTTCACAATGACAATGGGAGTTGGAGGAGTTTCCCAAAGGGCTTTCACAAATGAAGCCAAGTCTGTTTGCAATACAAAACGTTGCAGAATCTTTCCGTCTGTGCATATTTTTAAATGTTTTTATTTTCAAATGTTTGACTTAAAAACAATGTCAAAATAACATCAATATCATTATTTGAGTGAAATTTTACAAAAGCTTGACATTGAAATAATGTCAAAATGACATAAATAAAATCATTATTTGACATACATCAAATTGATGTCAAAGGACTGATGTCAATTTGATTTACGTTTTTTGACCAAATTTTGATAACAATTTGATATCGGTGTTTGATGTTAAATTGATGTTTAATTGACATCTTTTGCCCACTGGGATGTTATCAAGATATTCCAACTCTATAATCAGGTTTAAATAGTTTAAGTATAATCACCACCATATGGTTTCCAAAGCAAGGTCCTAAAGAATGCTCATTGGGTTTTTCCAGTTGGTTTTATTCTCACAATGTGCTGTTCTACTGGAGTGGCAGTACTGTTAGCAGAAAAACTTAATGAAGAGGTAATGAAGATGTCAGGAAGCTGTGATAAGATACCTGAGCTGAATATTAGTGTCAACATGCTCACAGGTCGACGGAATACCAGCTGGTTTATAATATTTTCCACACTTAAGAAAATGGAAGGAGGGATGATGAGGTTATAATAGGAGCTGTGAACAGTTGTCCCTGAGGAAAAAAAGAGGTCAGTGTTGGACATTTTTCTGACCATATATTTAAAAAGCATGGCAAACATATACATCTGACTTAGCATTTCCGGAACTTATACTTTTTTTTTTTTTTTTTTTTTTTGCAGACAGTTTTTGAACCAGTAATTTAGGAAAAAATAGCCTTTTTTTAGAGGAGCATGGCTCAGTTTTATAACTCACAGGATCACACAGCAACACAGTGTGTGTCCTATAATCTAATCCCAAAGTTTTCCTCACTGCTAGTATGAAGGTTTTCATATTTACTAAATGAGCATATTTTGCTCATACTAATGTTAGGATAGATTATGCAGTTGCTGATCACTACAAAAGTACTGTGGTGTTTATCAGTTGAGACCAGTGCTGCCTTTTTCATCCATCTTAACAGTGTCCTGCTAGTTTCAGAGATCTTTTGGTATGACATTTCAAATAACACTAATCTTTTAAACCTTTTACATTTTCTAGAAACAGTTTTTCCTCAAGAGGTTTTCCTTTGTTTTATTATCAGATTCTATAGGTTAGCTGACCTTGGTTAGCCTCGTACTCGAATGTTCCCTTCATCTGATTTTCAAGGGGTTGGTTTGATATCTGCCCTGTTAGATGAATCCTAATCTGGATTTTTTTTTTTTTTTAAAGCTAGAAACAGCTGGGCACGGTGGGGGTTAGTCTAGACAAATGCTTGACAGCTTGAATGATCCCCATCGTAATAATACAGCTTAAAGTCAGTTTGAAATAATCAAAAGAAATAATCAAATATATATACATATGTATATATATATTTATTTATTTTTTTTGCACATCTTAACCTTTGCCTCCTGCATACTTTTTATGATTTACATTTTCATCTGGATCTTTTACTTCCTTCCAGGAAAGTCTATCTGAAATTACATTAAATTCTTAATGGTGTAGACAGCAGGTAATTATCGTCAGTCACAGCCTGATACCATTTCAAGATCGGCTTAATTGTAGGTCCCTGCCTTGAAATCGAACAAATAAAGACACAATGAAAGGCCTAGGTTAGGTTACAAGCTCCGGTGAATAGAGAAGGCTACATTTCCCAAGTTATGACATCAAATACGGCCCTCTCTCACAAGAACACACATGTGTGCTTTGTTCAATTTTCAATAATGCATCTCCATATTCTCCCAGTGAAAATCACTGCCTTTGATCTAAAACATCTTTCATTTGCTGTGATGCAACAAAATATAATCCAATAGCACTCTTCTGATCCTGCTGTGGATTACGTTACTAATTTCCCTTATACCTCTATCCCCATTTCTCTCTTGGTTTCATCTGTTTCATTCCAGCAAAACACAAACAGGAGTTCAGGGAATTAACTGCAGCAAGTTGGTTCTAAACAACCTATATTTTCTCACAACTGCCCAAATGATTTATTGTAATAATGTCATGCCTTAAGAATTATTTCCTTTAAGAAGAAGAAGCTGGTCAGTGCCAGTTCTTTAAAACACTGATATTGACAGCTAATGATCTCACATCTGTTTGCATTTTCATGAGAAAATATAACATATCTTCCTAACTGAATTAAATGGTTCAAGTTAAACTTTGATGCCTTTTCATAGGTAAATCACCATTCTATTAACAATAAAACATAACATAATTTTAAGTTAATTTTTTTTTTCAGTCACCAACTTAAGCACCA